GGGGGTGTGGGGGTGGGGGAGTGGGTGAAGTTTTCCCCCTACCCAGGTACCTCCTAGGCAGCCTCGTTCCATCCCAGACTTTACACACTCCCCTTCTGACCCCAGGCCAATCAGGGCGTGGGGGCAGGGGAGTGCGTGACTTCTTCTCCCGCCCTGCCAGGAGTGAATGGTGTTTCTAATCACTGCACCCCTCTTTCAGGGCAGGGGTGGAGGGCGGAGGAAACTTTGTGCATTTTCCCCACCCCCAGGCCCTAAATGGTCACACTGCAGATCACGCTAAATCCTCCCGCTTGCAGGGCCAGATCCATCCCACGTAAGCCCCTTTCCCCACCCCGAGCTGCAGAGATCCCTCTGAAATAGCCCAAGGCTGGGTCGGGCTGGCACGCACTGCAGGAGACAGGCCTCGTGTCCAGTTTCCCACAACCTAAGCCAGCCAGTGCCCATCTGGGGGACCAGAGTGGAGCAGGCACCCTCTAGCTGGGACAGGCCCAACCCCCAGTCCTCAACCAGAGCCAGGCAATCCCCCACCCTGGGACCACACTGGAAGCAGCAGCCAAGAAGAAATCCCCCCTGCCCCAGACCGCAGGGTAGTGGATCCACGGTGGAAGTCCAGGAGAGCTGTGGTCAGGAGGAGGGGCCCCGCAGGACTGGGAGGAGCAGCCGGCCAAGCCAGAGCCGGGAAGCAGAGAGACAGTCGAGGGGCGGGGAGAGACTCCGGGGCAGTGTGCACTAGGGAGGTACCAGTATAGTCGATTAACTGATAAGCAAAAGCTAATCTGTTAATATTGCAGATGACACATGTTCCTCTCCCCCCACCCAGTAAATGTTTTAGCCGGCTGGCCAGCAGCCCGACTCAGTCCTGGCTCGTGCTGGGTCTTGGACCTACCCCTGCTGAAGCTCTGCATTTAAAGTGTATTAGGAGCCAGGTGGGCAGGCAGCCCGGCTCAGTTCTGGGTCACCCTGGATCTAGGAGCTCAGCCCCTCCCTAGACAAGGTTTACTGACACCCCACGCTGCTGCCTCTGTTTAAAGCCTCTGGTTTTTAAACTGGCTCCCCTCCTGGTCCAGCTCCTGCCTGGCACCTCACGCTGCTGCCTCTGATACAGAGGCAGCAGCATGGAGTGGCAGGGGGCTCCTCTGGAGCTGGCTGCTGGCCCCATCCCTGGGGGCTGTAGAATAGTTGACTAAATGATATTTAACATCCCTTGTGTGTACTATCACCAGGGCAGGACTGCTGGAGGGGAAAGGGAGGCTGAGCAGTGAGTCAGGCAGCTGGATGCTTCGTGGATCCATGGGGCACAAACAGGGGCAGACTGGCCCGGCAAGATACCGGGAATTTCCTGGTGGGCTGTTGGCTGAAGGGCCGACTGTCGGCTGCTGAAGGAGGAAGGAGAAACCTGGCAGTACCCAGCCTCCTGGGTGTGGCTGCTGGAGTTCCCGCTTTGCACAGCCCTTTCTCCCTCTCTCCTCCCCACTTCATAGGCACAGCAAAGGGGGGGAGGGCGGGGAGGGACAGTTGCCCCCGCCCTCCTGGCACCACACTGGGGGAGAGGAAAGGGCCGCTGTTCTGGGCTGGTGTGGGTTTGGGAGCTCCCAGCCGGCTAAGTGCTGCTCTCCAAACTGCAGCTGCCGGAGTTCTGGCTCTGCATGAGGAAGGTGTGGATGGAGCAAGTCATGTGTAATGGCACAGAGGGGCAGGAGGGGAATGGGGGCAGAGGGTCGTGAGGGGGTGGGCATCAGGGAAAAAGAGGACAAAGGGGGCATGGTCAGTGAGGGAAGTGGGAGGCACCAGGAGAGTGCAGGGCTAAGGGAAGGTGCAGGTGCCAGGGGATTCTGGGGTGAAGCAGAAGGGTAGAGAGAGGTGTTAGGAGAGGGGATGAGGAGGGGTAGCTCACATGAGCAGAGTGGGGCTACTGGAGGAGTGGGCACACGGGAGAGAAGGACTAGTGGAAGGGGGCATGTCTCAGGAAGGCTGAGGGCAGTGAGAAGGGCAGGAGTCAGGACAGCAGAGGTGGATGAGGATGTGGGGGGCAGCAGGGGAGCTGATGGAGCAAGGGGAGGAGACATGGCAGCAGAGGGAAAAGGGAGAGACTTATAAGATATTTATTAATAACGTGGGTTCCACAGTGGCACATCCGAACAAGCCCCATGAACTCAGTACTGGTGCACAACACAAAATTCATTCTGCTCATGGGAGGAAACTCTTCCCCCAGTCACTCCGCCCCCTCCCCCTCCGAGTTAATGTCACACACAATTGGGTTAATGCAATTGCAGGATAGTTGCATGAGGGGGGTTTGGTGGGGGCCAAATTAATCCCTGTTGGTAGGAGGATGGTGGGAAAAGTCCTTAGAGAGGGGTCACATGACACCTTTCCCTTCTGTCGCACAAAGAGAACTCTCAGAGGAGATTAGTGATGACACCAGAGCCACCCCCGTCCCTCGCCAGGAAGCCTGAGGGCGGCTCCAAAGCCCACCGGAGTCAACAGAAGAACCCCAATGGGATTTGGATTGAGACCTTCCATGGGAGCCTGGTGTGTTGAACCTGGGGAGAACCAAGGCCGCCCAGCTGAGCCCACCCTTTGGGGAAAGTCAGGATCCGTGTTAACCCCTTTGTAGCCAGGCCTCCCACACACCGGCTTCCCTCCCCAGCCCTTGATGACAGCCTTTTCCTGACTGCTGTGCTGGGCATTTCCTCTGGGGTCCACAGCACCATGAACCCCCACTGGTGGGTGGGTGTTGTGCAGTCCCCTTTACCCCTGTGCATAGTCCACAGAGAGTAAGTCTCCTGCACCCCACAACTAGGAAATATGGGTTCTAGCTCCCAAGGCAGCAGCTCGGGCTCTCAGCTCAAGAGGTGCCTGGTTCACCCCTGGGGCATCTGCCTGGTTCACCCCAGGTGGCCATCATGGAGGTGGCAGAGAGGGGGGACACATATGGCACGCTCACCCTTGTGCTCTGCTTGCCTCTGAGCTGTTAGCCAACATGACACTCTACCCCTCATATGACAAGGGTCTTCTGTACTGCTGCTTACCTAGAAGACTGTAAAGAGGCAGGAGCACCAGGGTGATGTTGGAAAGGGTTTTAAAACACTTCTCCTCCCTTCTCGCCTTCCTCAGCAGTGTCGTCAGCTCCTGCAGGTGGGTCTCAGCCACAGTCACCTTGTCTTGGATGCGAAAGTACGTCTGCTCACAGTTCTCCAATTGAATCTCCAGCTGAATGAGCTTCGTTGCCTTTTGCTTCTGCTCATCTGCCAGCTCTTTCGTTCTGATGTGCCCTTCCCCGATTCGGTCACTGATGGCACTCCTGTGGGCTTCTAACGCCTTCTCCGCAGCCTTCATTGTCCCCAAAGCCTCTCTGCAGTGTCCCTTTATCTTCTCATGCTTGTCCGGGTCTGTCCCCTTGTGGGCCAGGCACTTGGCCAGAGACACCAGCGACGCCAGCCCCACGGAGACCTCACGTTCATAGCTGTCATCTTGTGAGACCTGTGCTGAAAAAGCCATCATGGGCCAGCCAGAGACAGGGAATGTACAGCCTACATGAGGGAGAGAACTGTCTTTACAATGGAGAAGAGGAAGGAGATGGAGAACTGTTTTCTCACCCTGTATCACAAGATTGCCCGCCTCGTGCGTCATGCAACAAGGACGGCCTATCAATGAGTAAGCTTGATATTTCACACAAAAAAAGGTATTGTGAAGGCAATTGGTTCCTTATGAGATTGTTCCCTTCCTGCACGCAGGGTATTCAGTGTGCTAGAAACCCAGGAAATGCAGAACAGAGGTAATTCTAAAGGAGGTAAGGGATAGGCCTGGTTTCTGAAAACTAATCCCTGAAGTAAATCAGTTGTGCTCCACAAAAGTCAATGGAGTCAAGGTCATACCCATTGACCCTTCAGTAAATCCAATGATCGTATGGGATTTAATGGCATTTGGGGTGGATTTTAATTACTCCACTGACCTCTTAGGAGTGAAGTCCAGATTCTGATCTCTGCTACCCCTCACCAAAGGCTCTTAAATAAAGTGAATTGTTCTGGGATAGGAGGTAAAGTCCTTTCATGAACTGATAACTGGTTACAAGACAGGAAACAAAGGGTAGGAATAAATGGTCAGTTTTCAGACTGGAGAGAGGTAACTAATGCAAGTGTCCATACTGAGACCAATCCTATTCAACGTATGTATAACTGATCTAGAGAAAGGGGTAAATAGTGAAGTGGAAAAAATTGCAGATGACACTAAACTGCTTAAGATAGTTAAGACCAAAGGAGACTGTGAAGAGCTTCAAAAAGATCTCACCAAAGTAAGTGACTGGGCAACAAAATGGCAAATGAAATATATTTTTGATAAATGCAACGTAATCCACATTGGAAAAAATACACATACAGAATGATGGGGAATAATTTAGCTATAACCACTCAAGAGAGAGATCTTGGAGTTAATGTGGAGAGTTCTCTGAAAGCACCCACTCAGGGTACATCTAGATTACATCCCTCTTTCGACAGAGGGATGTAAATTAGACACTTTGAAATTGCAAATGAAGTCTGGATTTGAATTTCCTGCACTACATTTGCATATTCACGTCATGGTGCTCTTTCGGAAAAGCGCTCTTTCGAAAGTGAAACCACGGTCTAGACGCAGTTGTTTTGAACATAGAAGCCTTTTTCGAAAGATCCTGTAAACCTTGGCTTCTATTTTCTAAAGAGCTGTGTCTAGACCCCCACTGCCAGGATCAAACTAATGGGATTATCTAACCCAGTATCTCCCATTTCTCTATTAGACCCTCCCATCTCTTTGCCCCCAGTACAGCACTGGTCAGTGACTCCATGGGGCAGTTTCCCCCCTCCCTCTCCACTACAAATGCAGCATGAAATAATCCCCCCACATCCACACATGCACACCCACCACCAGCACTTACCTTTGTGTTTGCATCCAACCTCCACTCTTCTGGAACTGAACCCAGTGCCCGGGTTGTGGTGATATTTATAGAGGGTGCTGTTGACCCACGCCTCTTCCTAGTGGTGTGTTTGCGTCGCTGCATGACTTCCGAGGCATGTGAAATTCCCACCCCCACTGAGCTGACAAGTCAGAGAACACCTTTGATCACTTGGCGAGCAGGAGAGTCCCAATGCGTAGCACCCATGGGTGTCCCACTGAGCTGACAAGTCAGAGAACACCTTTGATCACTTGGCAAGCAGGAGAGTCCCAACCCGTAGCACCCATGGGTGCCCTGCATTTGGGACGGTGCCAGCCGACTTCCCCAGAAGCCAGTTCCACATTCTCCTGCTGGAACCCGGGAGCCCTGAGTCCTAAGCCCTTCTGCAGCTCTTGGTGAGGTTTCATGGCAGGACAGGAATTCTTGGTGGCTATTTCTCCAGCTCCATCAATCAGGAAAGGCTCTGTCGGGGAAGGCAGCAGGAAAAGGTACCAACAGGGGAGAGCTTTCCAGAGCCATTTTCTGCTGCAACCCTTGACTGGCACCTTTGACCAACCCCTATAGCTCCTGATACTTTCCACTGCTGCATGTTGTTGCTATTCACACCCTCCCCACCGCCACACATGGTGTGCAGTGTAGACACAGCCTGAGCTACGTGGCATCACCTCTCCAACACCCTGTGAAGAGGGCAGTGGCAGGAGCTCTGAAGTTGGTTGGGTGATTTGAGGAGGCCCAAATGGCCACGCAAAGATCACACGGGGGCAGGGTGTTGATTTAAGGGGTGGGGGAGAGGAATGAAGAAGTACAACTGCTAAGGTAATGGACGAAGAGTCAACATTCCTGTAACTCGGGTGTAACAATCCAAACAGAGCCTTCCAATGGGCGTTCGCTTCAGAGTCTCTGTGAACACTGAGCCCTGAATTTTATCTCCCTTCTTCTGCCCAGATGTACCAGCACTTGGAGATCTCTCAGTCCCTAAGCGGAGCCAGCTGAATTTTCAAAGCCAAATATTTTCCTGTGATTTCACTGAAAAATGGTCTTTTTAAGCAGACAGTGTCTAGTTTTGGGTGGGAAATGTCCGTTTTAGGCCGGGAATGTTTTCTATGTGCAGGAACTATTAGGATTTTCTGTTGGTAATGTGAGTACGGGCTGGATGCAGTGTTGCTAGAGCTGGATCGGTCCCAGGATATTAACAAGACAAGGGAGAGAGTCCATTGATACTTTTATTGAACAGTCTTCTAGGAGCTTAATTTTTGCAATTTTCCTACACACTAAAAACCATGGGCTGAGCAGAGACCCTGCAATGAGGGCTTAGCACAGCAATCCCACAGATGTCCCCCCCCCCCCGCCTCAGGGTTAACAAGTGCTGAGAATTATTGTTCTGGACAGTGTAGAAAAAATGAGACAGAACCCGACTTTTGTGCCGACACGTTCTGATGTCCTATGAAGCTGGCTCAGGACAGAAGTGAACAATACTCAGCGTTCCGTGGGAGGGGTCGCTCAGCAGCTGCTTGCCTGGCTGGTACTGGGGCTGCCCCTCTGTGACTTACCAGCAGGGAGCTGTCAGAGGTTGCTACGCCCAGCTCACTTGCCCCTGTCCCCCCAGCTGCCGGGAACCTGGCAAGGGGGTATGTTGCGTGTGCACTCACCAAAAGATGCTGCTGTGCTGATGTTGCTGACAGTCAACCCAGAGGCAGAGAAGAGCAGCCCCCACCAGCCAGCAGCAGATCAGAGGAAGCCCCCCACAGGAACAATTCCCCACTCTGCCCCTGCCCTGGGACTCCTTGGAGCTGCCCCAGGAAGCCCCCCACAGGAACAATTCCCCGCTCTGCCCCTGCCCTAGGACTCCTTGGAGCTGCCCTGTGGTGTGGAGCTCACCCCGGGCCAATGGGGGTCAGAGACTCCTCAGCTCCCCTGCAAATCTGGTGTGTTTTTACTGATACCTAAATGTTTTCATGGATTTTACAGACAGGCCCAATGTTAGTTCTTTTTCATGGACTCTCCCTGGCTTTACTGCTGGCCAGCAACCCTGCCCCTTCTGCTCCCTGCCCATGACTGGAGGAGCATTAACGGGCCCTGTCATCTGCCATGTTCCCAGGTGTGTTAACTGCTCCTGCTAAGCCACCTGTCCCCCCTTTGTGTTTAGCTGCAGCGCTTTGAGGGCAGCCCACAGGGACAGCAGAGACACTCCTGTACCCGCCGGAGAGAGCTCTCCTTTCCGAGTTTTTAAAGCACCTGCCGGAGAGGCGAGAGGTAAGCACATAGCATTAGTCACTCGCTCCTCTGCCCCTGCCCGCACCAGCCGGGAGTGAGAGGAATGAACACGCCCTGCGTACTTTCCCCTCCCTCCCTGATACTCAGGGGATTGGGAAGAAGAGCAGCAGCATCCCGGTATGAGGGGCATTAACCCCCCTGCTCTCCTGAAATGGCACCCTTGCAGGGAAGGCTTGGAACTGGGGGAGTCCCAGACTAGTGAGGGGGCATGCCCTCAGCCGGCCCCTTTCACCTGCCTGCTGCTGAGCACAGCTGCCTGCAGGAAGCCCCAGGACCCCCGCTGGAAGTGCACTCCACCTCCTCCTGCAGCGGAGCACCCAGTGCGAGCTGGCTCTTCCTTGCCGGGAGGGTGCATCCGGGCGCATCATCTTGCTTTCACCTCGGGGATCAAATCCCAGCATCTCTCTGGGCCAGCAGCTTCCCCACCTGTGAAATAGGAGATACCGTGAGGACCCCTTCCTACATGTCCGCCTGGCGCTCATTGTGTATCGTACCCACCTCACAGCTTCTTGGCGTTAAGCGAGATAGACTTAGCTCCCCAGGCAGCTTTTCCACATTCCCTGCCATGACGGTTGCTCTTTTCTGAGCCCTTCCCAGTTGGCCAACGTCCTTGTGCAGGCGCAGACCCTCGAAACGGTCTCACCTGTGCCCTGTGCAGAGCTGGTACCAGGTCCCTGCTCCGACTCTGTATCCCCCTGCTCAGCCAGGCAAAGGTCACATGCACCCTCCTATCTGCAGCCTGGGTCTGGGCGGGATGGGGGAAGGTGGGGTCTGGAGTAACTTTGGGCTGCATCAGAGCCCTGGTGTCTGATACTAAGCACCACTACATGGAATAGTGACCCACAGTAGAGCTATGTCTACACTCGCAGCTTCTTGCGCAAGTAATATGCAAATGAAGCTAAGCGTGAAATATTACCGAGCCTCATTTGCATAGCTAATGAGCTGCCATATTTGCAGAAGAGGCTCTTGCGCTAGAAGGAGCATCTACACTGCCCCTTCTTGCGCAACAAAACCTCTCTTGCGCAATGCCATAATGCCGATTTCCTATAATACCCTCTTTTTTATATAAAATCCCTGATTTTTTCCAGGTTTTCTCCCTCCCCCTTTTCCTGAAGTAATAAAAAGGATGATGGGGGAGGGGTGGTGAGAAGAAAAACGTCAGTGAAAAGAGTAATAACATGGGAAAAGAAAACCCCCAAAGTACTAAAATTTCACACACACACACACACACGAAGGTAGAACACACACACACACACAGAAGGTAGAAGATTTACCTGGCATTGCTCAGGTCCTTAAATGAGATAATTATTGTTTTTCTTTTAAATCATGGCTCTGGAGTGGGGTTGGAGAGGAGGAGTTCAGGGTGCAGGCTGCCCCAGAGAGAGAGGGCAACCCCAACCTTTGCTCAGTGCAGCAGCTTGAGGTCAGGGGAGAAGCACCTACGGATGGTTTCTACAGTTCCAGCAGGCATATTTGGGGGAGGGGCGCATGTCCCTTGGCTGGGGGACAGACACAAAAACAGATATACCCACAAACAAGTGTTCTCTAAGGGTACGTCTACACTAGCCCCCTAGATCGATCTAGCGAGGCTAATGAGGGCGACCGGAATGGCAAATCAAGCCTGGGATTTAAATATCCCACGCTTGATTTGCATGTTCCCGGCTGGCCGCCATTTTTAGAAATTGACTAGCCCAAAGTAACTGCCTGCGTCTACATGCGGCAGTGAAACGGGCTTCCGATTTAAAGCCCTAAATTGAATTAGGTGGTATTCCTCCTGCAATGAGTGGGGGAGGTGGGTTGGGAGGCCGGTGATAGCAGCTCAGCCCAATGGGGCTAGAGTGGGTGGGACTAGGGCTCCTGTGGTCGGGAGGTGGGGGGAATGTCAGGGCTTTTTCCAAAGAAGGCATCCAGGTTGCCCGTTTGGCCACCCCAAATTTTAGAGGTGTTGTGATCTAGGGCTCAAGGCCATAGAGTCACAGATGATTAGGGCTGGACAAGACCTCAGGAAGTCATCTAGGACCAACCTCAACTCAGTCATCCCAGCCAGGGCTTGGTCAAGCCTGGCCGAAAAAACCCACCATGATGCCCATCTGTCATGCCATGCTGGACTGGCGGGTGTCACTCCCCAGCTAGCCCCTGGGCCTCACACCCCTGGGCTTCACCATGCCTGCAGATCTGACACCCTTGCACGTCCTCAGAGGGACTGCCTGGCACTGGGGATACTGGGGCAGGATGGGAAGGGCGCGGGGAGGGCAGTATGGGAAAGGGACAGGATGCATGTGGCTCCTGGGGGCAGGACGGGGTAGGGGCAGGGGCTGTATTAACTGTCGTGCTGGTCTCAGAGTGCGGATCATCTGTCGCGCCTCCCATTGACTAGTTCCCATTGCTCCTGCTCTAGTGTCAGGTTGTAGTGACAGTTTCGTGAGAATTGCCAGTCGGGAGCAGACCGGGCGCATTGTGTTCCCGTCTCATGTTTCTGACAGGCCCGACTTTGTAAACACAGCTGTGAGACCAGCACGACAGTTAATACAGCCCCTGCCCCTACCCCGTCCTGCCCCCAGGAGCCACATGCATCCTGTCCCTTTCCCATACTGCCCTCCCCGCGCCCTTCCCATCCTGCCCCAGTATCCCCAGTGCCAGGCAGTCCCTCTGAGGACGTGCAAGGGTGTCAGATCTGCAGGCATGGTGAAGCCCAGGGGTGTGAGGCCCAGGGGCTAGCTGGGGAGTGACACCCGCCAGTCCAGCATGGCATGACAGATGGGCATCATGGTGGGTTTTTTCGGCCAGGCTTGACCAAG